CATAGTGTAGTAGTTGTTATATCTTATATCATCGTGTCTGAAATGATCTCATATCATGTCCCATTCATGTCCCATATCATCGTGTCTGAAATGATCTTATGCTATATTATATCATAGTGTCGTAGTTGTTATATGGTCTCGTCTTGAAATTATATTATACTATCTCCTGCGATCTTACCATCGTGTCTTCATTTGTCGTATTTTATATTTGTTTGTTCCTCTCTCTTTCTCTCCAGCCTCCAAGGAGGACCACCGCCCAGCTCTGCCATAGCCCATGTGGGGGCTGGTAGGTCATCCTCCGGGGTTCTGTTTGGGCGCATCCACCGAATCCCCCCTCTAAAGAAACCCTGCAGGTAGTGGGGGGCTCAGAGGCTTACTGGTGGAAAACAAATCTTGAACCCCGTCAGCAAAAACAGACGAGGAGGGAACTGGCGATTTGGAGGATTCGGCACTTAACGCCGCCCCGACCCCCCCAGAATTCTCCTGAGGGGGGGGGGTCCGGGGGAGACGCATTTCCTAATCCCCCGACCCCGTCCTCTCGCAGGCAGAGCACCCCTCCCGGAGGGAGGGTTCCGGAGGGGCTCTGTGAACAGGTCTTGCACATAGCGCTGTTTTCGATGGCAGCGCACCAGGCCTCCCCAATAGCACCAAGCCTCTTCCCCCTTGGCCCCCCCGACCCCCGACCCAAAAGACGGGCGTGGGGGGGGTAGTCCAGGGTGGGTTCGGGAGAGCTGCCACGTTGGTCCCCTTGACCACTGCCACGAAGATCCCCCAGGAGTTACCCGGTAACGTGTTGCCTGTCTCAGGGGTAGCCCTCGTGGGGGAGAGGCCCAGAGGAGGGACTCATCGACCCCAAATCGCCCACTCATCGCCGAGATGTGGCCTGATAGCCCCGCCCGGGATGAAGTCGGGCCTGTCCTTCTACAGGAGGAAAATTCCCAAATAGTTTAAAACATGGTCTGGGGACTACGTTCGAACATGCTTCTTGTCTGTGCTTGAATCTTGAATGCGTATTTTAGATGTCTCGTCCAGGGGCCACCTGTAGGGGGACACGCCCGGCATCGGCCCGGGAGCGCGCGGGTTCGCCATCGAGGGCCCGTCGCCGACCTGCCTGCGCTGCATCGCCGATCCCGGGTCGACGCTTCCTCCTCCTCCTCCCTCCTCATCCTCCTCCTCCTCCTCCTCCTCCTCCTCCTCCTCCTCCTCCCCCTCCCCCTCCTCCCCCTCCTCCTGCTCCTCCTCCTCCTCATCCTCCTCCTCCCTCCTCCTCCTCGGCCCCGTTCCCATGCACAACCGACGCGCCTCGTCGCCATACGGGGCGGCCTTGCATCGTGTCTCGCGGGGTTCACCTTCCCCGGTCCGTGGACCCTGGCGCGCACGCGCCAGATCCACGGATCCCTACAGTGGGGGCGCGCATGAAGAGACCATCTGCTTTTCGCCAGGGTATCCTGGGTTTCTTCGCTCCTCGCGCTGCGCGGCGACTTCCCGCAGCCCTTGAAGGAGCCACTGCGTCCAGGGTGCTCCTTCAGGTGCACCTCGCGTACGGGTTCTCAGGGCTGGGCTTCTTGCGAGGGTTTCTTCTGGCCGCGCCCGCACTGTAGTCCATGTTTCGGGCCGGGCGAAAGGGGGGGATTGGGAAAGGGGGGGTCACGAAATTTGCTGCATGCAGCTGGTTTCGGCCTCACCGAGGGGCCCATTCCTCGACACATGGCCGCTCCCGGCGACGGGAGGCGCCGGGAAAATCAGCTACGTGAGCTGATTTTCATTCCCCCCCCATTGCTATCCCCCCCTTTCGCCCGACCCGAATGTCGGCGTGAACCCGATCATCGCCTCCGCCCTCGTCCCTTCAGGTGCATCTCGCGTACGGGTTCTCAGGGCTGGGTTTCTGGCGAGGGTGTCTTCTGGCCGCGCCCGCACTGCAGTCCATGCTGGCGTGAGCCGGATCATCGCCTCCGCCCTCGTCCCCCCGCCTCCGCGCCTCCGCCGAGCCCAGGGGGGCGGGGGCCACGGCGGGGGTCCGCCAGTCGCCCCGCGCCCCGCCAGCAGCGGGGCCCTGCCCGCCCGCTGGCAGGCGGGCGTCGTCGTCGTCTCGTCATCGGCGTCGTCGTCGTCGTCGTCGTCGTCGTCGTCGTCGTCGTCGTCGTCGTCGTCGTCGTCGTCGTGGAGGGCGTCGTCGGCGTCGGCGTCGGCATCGGCGTTGACTTCGGCGTCGTTGAGGGCGTCTGCGTCGTTGTCTTCGTCGCCGTAGTCGTCGTGTAGAGGCGAGCAGGGATCGGTGCGTTATCGAGACGGGAACGGAGCGAGCGGGGACGAATGCCAACATCAGCTCCTGCCCATGGTGAGCAGAAGTCGCTGACGGTGTCGCCGCGGTTCTCGTCCATGTGGCACAACAAGTCCCCTGCCCGACAGCGGCCGCTGCCAGTGTTGGACAGCGTTCGCTGGTGGGCATCGTGCACTTTTTTCCGTAGTTGCGCGCTGCTGGCTGGCGTGCTAATTTTTGGCGCCGTCGGGGTCGAGGAGGACCGAGGCCTTCTGGGGAGCGTCGCAGATCTCCGGTTCCCCGTCGATCTGTTTTTTTCAATCCTGGCTGTTCTCCCTCCTCAGCCTCAGCCCAGAGCAGGGCCCCCAGAGCAGCCAAAGATGGGTCCGGCGTGGAACACTGCCCACTGGGAAAGGGGTCGGGAGTCTCGGGGCCGCGCACTGAACGAGATCGCATCGTCGGACGTCTGGGGATCTATGCCGCCCGCATCGGCGTGAAGATGAATCGCGCGTCGCGCGTCGCGCGCTTGGCCGCAGAGCTGCCATTCTCCAGGAGGCGGCGCGACGTCGTGCACCATGCAGGAGCAGGAGTCACGAGGGAGGGTTTCGCCGTTGTCGAGCCCCTGGGGCTCTCTCCACAGTCCCTGGGATTGGAAAAAGCTAGCTCGGGAGGAGAGGGTGTCCAGGGGCCAAGCCCCAAGCTCCAGGACCCGTTTCCTTCAGTACCCCCTCTCCTTCATGCGAAGTCGTGGAGAACGGGGAGGACGAGGACGGAACGGCGGCGGAACGAGCATCGAGGATCGGGGGTTCCTGGACGTTTTTGTTGTTTTTGCCTGACTTTGGGTCGTCGGGGGCTTCCGCAGCGACTTCTGGGACCTCTGGAGGCTTCCAGAGACCCCAGGGACCTCCTTGGGATTGAGGGGGAGGAGGAGGAGGGATGAGCAGCAGGGAGAGGAGGGGAAGGGGGGGTAGGCACAGGACGAGGAAGGGAAGGAGGGGGGAACATAGGAGGAGGAGGAGGAGGAGGAGGAGGAGGAGGAGGAGGAGGAGGAGGAGGAGGAGGAGGAGGAGGAGGAGGAGGAGCAGGAGCTGGAGCAGGAGCAGGAGCAGGAGCAGGAGCAGGAGCAGGAGCAGGAGCAGGAGCAGGAGCAGGAGCAGGAGAAGCAGGAGGAGCAGGAGGAGCAGGAGGAGCAGGAGCAGGAGCAGGAGGAGGGGGAGGAGCAGGAGGAGACAGGGGAGGCGTGGATCAAGAGGAGTGGCATGAATCTCATGCGGTATGCGAGGCATTATCTGTAAGGGCGTCGCCCTCTGCCGCCGGCCCCCCCTCTATCATCATGGGGTATGCAGGAGTTGTGCTGGGATGCCTTGGCGCCGTCGTGTACCCAGTGTTTTTTGCACGTTCTTGTCGATTCGTCTGATGTCTTGGGGGTTGGCCGTCCTGGGGTCGAGGCG